CTATGATGAGCAGGGGTGGAAGTTCATCCTTTACTCTAACCATTTTCCCAACAGCTGTGATTGCCACATCATAGCACACCAGTGTCCTACGAGAGCTGGGGCCAACATGTCCCATGGCTACTTCCTCAAGCCCTTACAGCTACTGGAGTTTAAGCAAATGTAGGCAAATTTGTGATGGCCTGTAACCAGTCAGAGGGACAGTCCATGGAGGTCTGTGGTGCTGTGTTCCCTATTCTCTTCAGGGAACTTGTGATGACTTCAGGGGCCACTACCTCATCCACTGACAAGTACATGAGGGAAGAGACCAGGCCCCAGCCACCCACTGTTCACCATTTCCAGGGACAGCATCCTGGGACTTGGGGGAACTGGCTGTGCTGGTCTCAAAGACTGACAGCAAGATGGTAGATGCCCCCTACACCAGGGCTGTGCCCTTCAGACCTCAGGGCAAGGCCATGTTCCCTTAGATACAACTCACATCCCTCAGTCCCCACGGTAAGGTTATGAACCCCTTTGACTTGAACCTATATCTTCCTTTCCTAGGACTATCAGCCACCCTGGCCCCAAAAAAGAAAAACCAGCATCAGCCCCTCCCAAAACCCAGCATCCCTGGGGAAGCGGGGAAGAGAGCACAAAGCCACCAGTCACATTTCACCACCACACCAGCCACATTCAAATAAGGATTTGAATATATTTCCTAAGTACATCTGGACATGCCTCCCCTGGAAGGGTGAGAATGGAGAAGCGCCACCCCAGACCTTTCTCAGAATCCCAGACCTGCGCCCTGTGTTCACGGGCCCTTCACGAGATAGACAGAGCTAAGAAGCCACTGGGGATAACATTGCAGCCCCCCACTCTCCATGACACACAGCCCAGAGACCTGGCAGGAAACAGAGGTGAAGGAAGACGTGAGGAGAAAGGAGGGGACCAGAAGAGGCGGAAGAGGAGGAGCCACAGGTGGGGGGGGGGGACAACTGAAGGCCTCTTTCTCTTCAAGGCCTGAATCTGGTGGCTCCAACCTCATGCGCCCTCTTGGCACTCCAGTACCCCTAGGGCTCCTCTAGATGGGTCTTAACAGTTATCCTGGGGGTGTGGGGATTTCCCCCTAGTTTGCAAAAGCAGATGCAAGCCAATATAGAGTCTTTAAACCTACCCAGAGCCCTGTTCTACTCAGCACCAACCCTTTGCCAGACTCAGGCCTAGAAAGGTGCTTCTTCAACCCATCCCTGCCCTGGCATCACCCAGCAGACTCACCTGGGACATCTGGGGCCGTAGGTTCACCTCCCTCAGGTTGATGGCTTGGGGAAGCAGGTTGTTAAGCAGTTGACACAAGAGGACACCATCCCGCAGTGCCTGTGCCAACTCACACACCTGGGCCCCCTCCCATGTCACACGGTGGCTGGGAGGCAGCACCCGACACTGGATCAGCCAGTGGGTGCACTGTCGCCAGAGCTCCATGGTGGCTGCCTGCCTCCCCCTCGGGGAGGCCCCGTGCACCCTCGCGCCTCCACCACCACTGCCGCTGCCTGCCCCAGTGGGGACAACTACAACACCACTTCCTCTTCTGTGACTGTAACTGTCGTCCTGGGGGTGGGGGTGGGGAGGAGCTGTGGGGCGGAGGGGAGCACCTGCAGTTCCGCCCCCAAGCCTTCCACACACTGGCGTGACCTTGCCTTTCTCCACCCACACTGAGCGGACCTGGACACCTGCAGGACAAAGCAGCCACTACCTCATCCTGCCTATTGGCACATAAACTGTCACCTCCTCTGGCTCCTCCTGGTGCCCTGTGTAAGGCTCTGGTCTGTCGCAGTCTGTCCCTGCTGTAGCCCCCAAAGGGCACCCTTGAGCACTGAGTTAAGTCTCAGCCATTCCTCCTCTACTCATAGCCCTTTATGGCTCCAACTTCCTTCTTCCACGGAGTCAAAACCCAAGTGTTCCCTGGGTGGCCCCGCTCACCCTACCCCCACCCTTCCCAGCCTCCCTGTCCTCTCTGCCTGTGCTCAAGCCACACTGACCTCTACCCTGCCCCAGACCCTTTGCCCTTGTACCCACCACCCCACGGACTACATTGCTTCCTACATGTCACTTTTTGACTACTGAGTGCTCATCCACAGGGGGGCCGCCACTACCCCAAGTCTCAAGAGAGAAGGGATGAAAAGCTAGGGAATGGGGAGGAGAACTGTGAAATGCTGTCTCCTGGGCAGGGCATGAGGGCTATGCTCAAGAACTCAAGCCAGGAACAAGAGCCAACATTTCCCACAGGCAACAGTAATGGACAAAGTGGGTTAAAAAGGAGCAAATAAGTGGGGAGAATGTGAAGGGAGCCCAGGACTCATTGGGAGGTGCCTGGGGGGAAATAACGGGGAGTTGAGGGTGGGTACGCCCAAGATAGAGTGCTAACATGTGGGAAACTGTTAAAGAATATTAATATAAATATATAGTAGAAAAGATATTCTGCTTTTACAGTAATTTTTTCTTTTTCATTTTTATTACATTTGCTCAATAAACATATGTGTGTATATATATGCACACACACACATACACATATGTCACATCTGTGTATGTGTGGAAATACATGTGGGGCATAGTGTATGTGTTGAGGTCAGCGAACATGAGGGAGATAGTCTATTCTCTTCTTCCACCTTGTCAGTCCCAGGGAATGAAGTCAGATCTTAAGGCTTGGCAGCAATCACCTTTGCCTACTGAGCCCTCTTACCACCCATCTTTTTTTCTTTTTTTGAACTTGTGCTGTGAATAGCATGTGTTTGTGCATGTGTGAAGTCAAAGGACAACTTCAGTGCATGTCCTCTCCTCCATGCCACTTAAGACAGGGACTCTCTCTTTCTCTCTCTCTCTCTGTCTCTCTCTCTCTGTCTCTCTCTGTCTCTGTCTCTCTCTGTCTCTGTCTCTCTCTGTCTCTCTCTCTCTCTCTCTCTCTCTCTCTCTCTCCTGGCTAGCTGATCCCTGGGCTTCCAGAACTGTCTCCTCCACACATCTCATCCTAGGAGCACTAAGAATAAAGAGCCCAGACCACCTCCTTCTGCTCTAACTGACAGACTGAGCAGTCTATTTATTGAGCCTCCAAATGTCATTTTTCCCAGATATCTTCCAAAATTTTAAATCACACCCTTCCCTGTTCTTTCTCTTTCTTTAAACTCTGATACCCAATGAATCTGACAATTATACCTACCCAGCTATGAGTTCCTCTCTGAGCCAAAGCCACCATCACCCTTCCCTGACATTATTAATTCATTTGTTTAACAAATAATTATTGCCTTCCTACTTACTAATAATTTAGCTCCTATTATTAGGAGCTAAAATTCCCTTGGCAGGGAAACCTCTCAACGAATTAGCTCATCAGGTTCCAAGTAACTCCCCTTCCACTCCGACTTTTCACCCTTATGGCCACTAGGCGGTGCTAGACCGCTTCCATGGACCACCCTGAGTCTGATTTACAAAGCGGGGAGGTGGGGAAGAGGTGGGCACAGCCTGGAAACCCTCCCTTTTGCAACCCTATAAGCGAGGACATTTTCCATCCCCTATTTTTGGTATCTGTGACTTCCTACGCATCCTCTCCCTCTTCTGTAAAATGGGTACCAATTTACTTTCTTTGCTCACGGTCAGGGTCGGAGATTACAGGGGGAGGCCAGACTGTGAAAAAAAACGAGGCAAGCTGGAAAGCATCAACTAGAGCTCTAAATTCCAATTTCACCCCTACCACTCCCTAGCTGAGGTACATTTGCACGAATGACTTAGCTCCCCCACCCCCGTGCCTCAGTTTCTCCACTGGAAAAATGGGGGGGGGTGAATAGTACATATCTCATTCCTAGAGTGAGTGAAAATTAACCTGTAGTGTCAGGGCTAGTAAACTGAATTGTCTTACCATCCAATTAGGTGTTCAATAAGTGTTGCCGCTATTATATGGAGTACTTCAAAGAATCTCATATAGCCTAGACTGGCCTTGAACTCCGCAATGTAGCTAGCTAAGGCTGACAGAACTCTTGATCCTCCTGCCTCCACCTCTCTAGTACTGTAGTGTGCACCCTACACCTCGTTTACACCCAGCGGTTCATGCGTGCTAGGCCAGCTAGCGCTCTACCCACTAAACATCCACCACAACCTGATTTACTAGTGAGCTTTGAATAAACGTGGCCTTTTAACAAGTGTATATCGCCTCTCTTGTGGCAGATTAACAACCCCCAACTTCCTCTACCTTATCTCCATCAGGATGGAGCCCCACCCCACCCCCAACCTGAGAAACCATCGGAACCCTCAGTCTTCATCCTGGTCCTAAACTCTTGCCCAGTTTCATCTTTGATGGAGGCTGTCGCCTTTCCCCACAAGTCTCTCAACTCCAAACCCCAGCTGGGTGGGAATGGGCCTGCAGGAAGCAACAGGTTTGATGCTGCAGGCTAGGACTGCTGTGAACTGATCTGGATCCCTGCGGGTTTGGAGAGACACCTTCAACTGGGCAGGTCCTAGGGAGACAAGGCATGTGGGAAAAATTATTCTAAAGCTTGGAGCTGGAACTCAGTGGGTTGAGCGCTCTCCAGAGTGAACGAAGCCGGGAGGTTCCGCCCCCAGCACCGCGCATTGTGGTGCACACCTGTCATTCCAGCACTCGGGGAGATGGAGGCAGGAGGACCAGGAGTCCAATATTATCGGACAGGTAGCTGAATGCTATAACGGGGGAGGGAGGCAGAGAAAGAAGAAAAGGGAGGAAGAATCCCAAACCATGGTATTAAGTGGGGCATGGCCGTGAGGAGACGGGGCGCCTGTCTAAAGACCGGGCTACTTGGAGTTGCCAAGGACGAAGAGGATATAGGGAACAAGATGTACACACCCACCCACACTCAGGTACTTAGACGCAGCAACGGGCGGACAGGTTCCAAGGGGCGGGGTGAGCACCTGGGAGGTTCCTTTGGAGGCGGAGCATGAAAGAGAGGGTGGTGGGCGGGGCTGAAGGGGCGGGGCCAGGGGCTAGGGCTGGGCGCCATCCAGGTGGAATGCTGGCAAGGCTGGGCTTGGCTGGGGCATGGACACTGCTCCTCAGCCGCTGAACCTCCAGATTGAGTCCCGTCGGATTCCCTCAGAGTCCAGCCCAGGTAAGTAAGGGGGTGGTCTTTGGTAGATCTAGGGGTCCCTACTGATCGGGGTGGAGCCGTCAGCTCTCAAGAGAACCCGAGGATCCATCCAAGAGAGTCTGCGGGGACCGGAAGAAGTCCCCAAGTGAGTGGCTCCGCTTCATGCGTGTCCGGGAACCCGGGTGTGCCTTGGGTGGCCCTCGCGCAGCTCCCAGCGTGTTTCCTGCTCTCTGCGGAAATACTCTCAGCTTCCACTTTCGTGTGCGCCATCGCAAGTCCGGATCTGCCCCTCCCTGGCTGGCTGGCTCCAAATCCTTTCTTTCTAAAGTCGCCTGTGGTCACTGGTTTAAAATGCGGTGTTCCCCTTACTGTGAGGTGTTCCCTCCTGGACTGCTTTTCTTTCCCTCTAGTCCCTCCTTGCTTACATTAGCACCTTGGTCCTGTGAAACATCAAAGAGCATACCCCTCTAACCCCCTCACCCTCACCTCACTCACCATACCACCCAGGCATTCCAAACTCTGCCTTGTTGCCTCAGTCCAAACCTAGGTCTCAGCTGCTAGGTCTTTGCCTCCTGGAAAGGGCCTTTCATATTTAAAGAACACCACCAGCTCCTGGGGCTGATGAGATGGTTCCATTGATAAAGGCGCTTGTTCATGCAGCCTGCTAGCCTGAGTTCTAACCTGAAACCCATGTAAAGACAGAGAAGAGAACCATGTCCACTGACTTGTCCCCTAATCTCCACCCGCGAACCTTAGCCCTCCCACACACAATAAAATTTAAATTAAAAAAGAACGCTGCCCCTCTAGCCTTCCTTACCGCTACAAAATCTTCTGTTTCACTACCTGCACCCGGGACCCTTAGAAATGATCTTTGTTCATCTATTGATTGTCTGTTGGTTGTTGATTGTAGCTGAGGATGGGGTAATTAGGGGTCCAGGGTCTGGGACAGACTGGTACTCAGTAGGTCTTAAATCACCTAGCTCAGGAAAGAAGGTGAGACCCCAGAACCCCAACTCCACCTGTTGGCGAGTGCACCCCTAATGTGTGTGCCGCTGTACACAGACACAGAAGATCCACAGACATCACTAAAGTTTGCCTGGCCCCTTCCCCGGTTTCCCTCCTGTCCACATAAATTAAGCTCCAAAAGACCCAAGGACAGCTTCGTTGACCTGGAGTGGACCTGTGTCCTCCTTGAGCTCCGCAAACTTGGACCAGAGCTTGGTCCTGCCTCGCCCCCATTCTTGCCAAGATGACTGGAGAAACAGGAGTTTATGAGTCGTGAAGTTCACGACCATAGTCGCAGGCCCCACCCGGGTGACAAACAGGAAATGTACACGTTCCGGAGCACACCTGGCAGGTGTGCAAGTGCCTGAGGCATCTCCCTCCAGGGCAGCAGGGCCCCAGGTCTCAGCTGACTACGCAGCTGGGGATGCCCCGCCCCCTTTCCAGGAAGAGGTGACTCAGAAGGCAGGAATCCTGCTGTGTACCTCTCTGCAGCCCCAGCCAGGGCCATTTCTAGACTCTAAGACCCTGGAGACTGGTAGACAGACACATAGATACATAGATCAATTGTTGGACGGACGGACAGACAAGATAGCCAACGCTCTCTCACACCCAAGGTGATTTGTCTGACAGGTATTTGAGACACAAGCTGGGACCTGTGGAATAATGTCTGAGATCTAAAATCTAACTATAATATACTAACAAAATAGGTGAGTTCCCAAATACAAGCAGAAACTCTAAATGTAAAATCGCCATTTGCAGACCATTCTCCAAGTTTGACCTTTAAATCATCAATCTTGAAGACTGTGCAAGAGGGTGGGGCTGCAAGTCAGTGGTAGAGCTCTCATCATAAATAAATCACAAATAAATGCAATGTAGGGGTTCAAGCCTACCATCCCAACCCTGGGGAGATGGAGACAGGAGGATCAGGAGCTCAAAATCATCCTGGACTATATAGTGAGTTTGAGCCAGCCTGGGCTACATGAGGTCATCAAAACAAACATTGTATTCTGCTGAAGAGTAATGTATTCGTGACATGTTGCACCTTGGCAAGAAGCCCTCAAATGTGCAGTTGCCAGTGTGATATGACTCTAATTTTATTATTTAATTTTATTTTTACTACTTGGAAATTTTTTTTCAGATTGTGTCTCACTCTGTAACCCAGGCTAATTTTGACTCATGACCCTCCAGAGTACTGAGTTTACAGACATATACAGCTGTACCCAATTTAAATGATGGTAACTGAAGTAAGTTACTTATGGCCAATCCTATGTATATATTTCCATTATTTCTATACTGTTACTATACAGTGTTTTCCTTTATATGTGTGTGTGGATGTCAGCCCACAGTGGGCAATGCCACCCATGGGCAGGTAGACCTGGGCTATATAAGAAGCTAACAGAAAGCCAATGAGCAAGCCAGTAGCCAGTGTTCCTACATGGTTTCTGCTTCAGTTACTACACATATAAATGTGGTGCATGTGTCTATGTGTCTGTTTGAATGTATGCTATGTGGGCAGGGGATGTAAATGTGTATATGTCTCTGTGTGTCAGAATGTATGTCATGGGGGGTATGAATGTGTGTATGTGTGTGTGTCTATTTGTGTGTCTAACTAAATTACTCCACATAGGGATGGAGCTGTGGATGTCAGAAAAAGTCATAGAATCCCCTAGGGCTGAGGTTACAGGTTGTTGTGGGTTGCAGTATGGTTGCTGGGATTTGAACTCAGATCCTCTGCGAAAGCAGTCTACACTCCTGACTGCTGGGCCCTCTGCCTCAGTTCCTGCCTTGACTTCCCTTGGGAATGGAGTGTGACATGGAAGTGTAGCCCAAGTAAATCCTTTCCTCCTTCAAGTTGCTTGTGATCAGTGTTTTCTCACAGCAACAGAATAGCCAACTAGGGCAAATGTATATTGTTTTGTTTTATGTAATATATACTTCCTTATAAATGAATGTGTCATTGTATTTATTTGTATACAAAAATTTCTCATCTGATCTGGAAGCTGTAGTTCAGTAATAGAACTCATGCAGGACCTTGGCTCAACCCCCAGTGTGAAATGAGGCTTATACTATTAATACTGAGATATTTAAGGCTGGGAGGTAGCTCAGTGTCTGTACCTGCAAGGCACCTAGGAGGCCCCAGGTTCAAACCCCAGCAACACACATACATTAGCTGTGCATATTGGCACACACTTTTAATCACAACACTCTGAAGGCAGAAGCAGGAAGATCTCTGTGATTTCCAGGCCAGTCTGGAATGCATAGCCAGTTTCAGGCCAGCCAAGGCTGCACAGTGTGACCCTATTCCAGTGTGTGTGTGTGTGTGTGTGTGTGTGTGTGTGTGTGTGTGTGTTGTGTGTAATATGTACATGCATGCAAATATGGCTGCAAACTGCTCGCTTAATTTACCACATGTGCTCATATTATTTATATCTACATATGTATGTGTGTATATATGTATGTATGTCATCTATAGTGGCATTTGAGCTGTGATACAATGTGGACTCTTCATAAGAGCCCAGTGTAGAATCAACCTAGATGTCCATCCACACATGGATGGGAAAGATATCTGATCCAACACTCAAGAAATGGAGGCAGGACTTTAAGGCCAACTGGGCTATAAGATCTCCAAAAAGAAAAAATTAGAGAGGAATAAAAGGGTAATCTGTTGTATATGTATAGTAGAGCATCATGCAGTTACTAAAAATGTTTTCTGTTTTCTGTCACAGGTAAAATACATGTAACCAAGTACTTACATATACACACAGGCACATACATGACATGAAACAGAATCAGCACAATGGGAGTGTGCAGACAGGAGAGGGTAATGAGCTGGAGACACGTTTCCATGAGAAAGAGGGCTTGCACAAGTGTTCCCTGTCCCCAAATACTGGCCATGGCCACACATTGCAGTAAGCCTAGCAGGCAGGGAGTCTAGCCAAAGTGACAGTCTTCTAATTGACTGTGGGGCCCCAACTCAAGGAATACCAGAGAGAGCAAAAGATACCCAACCAATATCATCCTCTGGTCTCAACACATGCCTAAGGGTGCAAACGCCTACACACAAACACACACACACACACACACACACACACACACACACGTGCACACGTGCACACTGCATGTACATAAATGTTTAAATAATAGAAGAGGTGATGGGGTGAGCATGAGTAGAATATGTTTTGAACAGGTATGAAGCTCTATCATGACAAAACCCACCGTTGTATGTGCTGAATATGGACTTGTGCTAGTGTCAAGTCATTCCTGCTGCTTCTCTGTTGATGGGATAGACGTGGACCAAAAGCAGCCGAGGAGCAGCCAGTGCTTTACTGAAGCTTCCGGGTCACAGCCCATCACTGGCATCACTGGAGGAAGTCAGGGCAGGAACACAAGCAGGAATTTGTGTGTATGTGTGTGTGGGGGGGGAGAATGGAGGGACACTGCTTGCTGCTTGCTGACTCACACACAGTCCCATGTTAGCTAGCTTCCTCATACAGCCCAGCACCACCTTCCCAGGGGATAGATTGTGTGACTCTTAGGGGGCTGAACCTTTCTACACAATTAACAATGAAGCAAGCACACATGTAAATCTGACCATGACAAGCCCTCACCTGAGACTCCTTTCCAAGGTGACTAGAGCAAAACTAGAATGAATGAATGGCACTGCCACTTTCAAAAGTAAAATAAGGATGAAAAGATAAGACCCAGCCCCTCAGGGTGCAGGACTCATTGCTCCCATTTTGCAGATGTAAAAGACTGAGGGCAGGGTGAATGCGCAGAGCTCAGCCCCGATTCCCTTCACCAAGAACTCCATGCAGGTGCCACAGGATAAAGATGACCTTGCCTGCCAGCCCTGGTACCATGGTCCGCTATCTCGACAGGTATGGACCCTACAGGCTGGTGGGAAGACTTTCCCACACTGATGTGGGAAATCCTGGATCTCTAATGAGTCTCTTGGGGGCAGCTGTGCTGGAGGATGGGAGACACTCTTGAAGCTTGGCTAAGTAGGAACTGTCATGAATTGAAATCATCCCTGGGATACTGCTAAGGATGGTAATGGAGACTGGGCAGTGCTCTGCATCCTCCCTCTCTTCCCCGTCAGTCTCCCACCCTGGCTGAATTCTCCCCAGGAACTTCCCTTTGAAGCTGAGCCACCTTGCCTCTCCAGTGTCACATACTCAAGCCCTGAAACAATGAAACACAATAAAATCATGGCAAATAGAAAGCTGTGATTGTCCAGCAATCAGACATGCTGGGTCCTGGCCTTACAACTCACAGTCTATGGAGAGTATAGACAATGTATTTGAATTCTCTGAGACTCAGTTTACCAATCTATAGAGTGGGGAATAAAACAAAAATCCTCTCAAGTTAGGTGTGGTGGAACACACCTGTAAATCCAGCACTCAGGAGGGAGAGGCAGGCAGATAGATGTCTGTGGTCTAGATCAGCCTGGGCTATATGGAGGGACCCTGTCAAAGTAAGAAATGCAATACTTCTTAAAGCCAGGTAACATGATAAACAACTGCAACCCCAGCACTCCAGAAGCTCTACAGTTCAAGGCCGCGCTGGACTTTTTAAAACATGGGTCCTGGGGACCCGAACTCAGGTCCTCAGGCTTGTGTGGCAAGCAGTTTACCTACAGCAAGTTTATCTCAGGAAAAAAAAAAAAATCAGTAATTATGGAGTCCTGACCCAGCAATAGAACACTGGCCTGGAATCCCCCAGTTTGGGGCTGTATGCATGGTCAGGGTGGAGCCCCTTCTTCATGGTGACTTTTGTCGGCTATGGGAGGGGAAGGTTCTAGAAACACGCCACCTATTCTGCATCCTCAGGAAGCTGAAGCGCTTCTACAACAAGATGGCGACTTCCTTGTTCGTGCCTCAGAGTCCGAAAGCGGCTACCCTGTGATCTCCTGCCGTTGGCGAGACAAGACCCTACATTTTGAGGTGTTCCGAGTGGCACTGCGGCCCAGGCCTGGTCGCCCACAGGCCCTCTTTCAGCTAGAAGATGAAAGGTTTGCCAGCATGTCTGCCCTGGTCCACAGTTACATGACCCGCAGACAACCACTGTCTCAGGCCACGGGAGCTGTGGCCTCCAAGCCTGTGAATCGTCAGAGGCCGCTGACACGAAGCTTCAGTGAGGCTGTGCTCACAGACAGCCTGGCTGCCACCAGGCCTCTCAGGTACTCAGTACTGAGGCTTCTTCTGACAGACAGGGTCCCACGTAGCCCAGGCTGGGCTCAAACTCACTGTGTAGTGGAGGGTGCCCCTGAACTGCCCACCCTCCTGCCCTCTACCTCTGACAGTCTAGTCGCAGAGCCATCTCTGAAGTGGCTGGCAGGTTGATGGAACCGGTTGGTGGCATTTTCTCCACACAGGCTGGACCCACAACCCTTTGCACCTCTGCCTCCTAGGCCTAGGAAGTGGAGTTCCAGCCAGCCTGCTGATTTGGACCATTCAGGAAGGGTCGAAGAAGATGGTGCTGGAGAAGGTGAGGGGCCCCAGGGCCATGGTAGCTCAGAGATTGGTTCTGCTGGTCTCTCCAGAGTGAGCTCAGCCCCCTGGATCTACCTCTTGAGACCCGGGTTTCTTGCTCTGATCAATTGAGAGCCCCTTGATACTGACACAGGGTCATAAGTGTGTGTATGTGTATCAGGCCTGGGTCACAAGTGTGTGTTCATGTGTGTGTGTGTATGTGTGCATCTGGCCTAGGTTGTGAGTGTTCATGTATTTTTTTTCATCAAGTCTGGGTCATAAGTGTGTGTTTTTGTGTGTGTGTGTGTGTTTGCATGCATGCATCAGGCCTGGTTGATGAGCGTGTATTCATGTGTTTGTGCATCAGCCTGAGTCATAAGTGAGTATTCACATGTGTGTGTCAGCCCAGCTACTTGAGAGGCCAAGACAGGAGGATCTTCAACTCAAGGCAATATACACTATCCACTGAGATAGTGGGGAGAGACTTGCTGTAGGTAAACTGCTTGCCACACAAGCCTGAGGACCTGAGTTCGGGTCCCCAGGACCCATGTTTTAAAAAGTCAAGCATGGTGATGGTGTTTATATCTAGTGAGGAGGTGGAGACAAGAAGATCCCTGGGGCTCACTGGGCCACCAGCCTGACATAGTCAGGAGTCTCAGGCCAGTGGCACAAACCCTAATCAAATAAAATTAAGTCGATGGAACCTGAGGGACAACACCTAAGGTCACCCGCTGACATCCACATATATGTGATTGCATAACCACATACTCCCGAACAGACACACATTCAAATGAAAAATGTGGTATCCAGAATTCAGAACATTCCCAGAGTGTTAAAAGTTTGTTCTCAAGATGGCAGAGGTTGTGGGGTTGGGAAGGATCCTCAGTCACTGGGCTGAGCCAGTAGCTGAAGCAGGGAGCCAGAGACTTTGAGACTCACTTCCACCCCACTCTGAAGAGCTGTTGAGCTATCTAAGCACACCCATATCCCTCCTTGTGTCAGGAGCGCCCCCTACTTTTGGATCTGCCCTGCACCGGACAGGCAGTGAACCCACATTACGGAAGGGCCTGCCTCACCTGGGGACTATGGCGGACAGTCTCAGAGCATCTGAAGGGCGGCTTCATGAGAAGGCTCTCTCCAAGCCTCTCCAGACACCCTCCTTGGCCTCTGGACACCCCTCAACATACTGCAAACTCCTTCCCCGGGCGACCTGTGCTCAGAGAACGACTCCCAGACCAAGCTGTCCAGAGCCAGAGGCCTGGTGGGAAGCTGAGGAGGAAGAGGAGGGGGACAGATGCTTTGTAAGACCACACAATGAGGTCTCATTTTGCATCCCTGGCCACCCCTCCCGCCTGCTGGGTTCACAAAATCGGCCCTTGGACCCTACAGTTCTGAGTTCTCTCCGAAGCTTGTTTATGGCACACCATCCTGGGAGCATTGCTCTACACCTGCTGTTGGTGGATTGCCAGGTAGGTCACCTGCTAGGGTCCTCCACCAGCAAGGGGCCAAGCTAGCTAACCTGTGGCTTTTCCTGGGGAGTTGTGCACAAATGTCTGTCCACCATAGCTAGGGCACTGGCCGCAGAAGGAAATGATTCCACCTGAGTCCAGCTTAATGAAGTGGAGAGTTTATGGGGTTACTTCCTGGAGTAGAGGTGAGAGGTCACTCACAGGAGCACCAGTGCATTACATAAAAAGCCCAATGCCAGCATGGGCAACTACTCACAGACGCCGCACCCCTAGCGCCCCCTGCAGGCAGTTCCAGAAATTGTTACTGCTTATGAATCTTGTGAACCTTGTGAGCTTCAGAGACTGCGTAAAACTTCCAGGATTCCTCTACTTCCCTGCCCTTGTCAGTTCCCTTCTCGACCTAGGAGCATCCCTATTCTGTCCTCCATTAGGAGGGAATGGCTTCACCAGGGGAACAGAAGCAGGCTCCAAAGGATCATCCCCACGCTTTGTCTGTTTTTCCTTCTTTGTGTTCTCTTGTCAAGGCTGTAGGCCTGCTGGGGGTGAACAAGAGTCAGAGGAGTGCCATGGGTGTTGCCTCTGGTCTAGAACTACTCACACTTCCTCATGGTCATCGCCTGAGGTTGGAGGTACTGGAGAGGTGAGGTGTGGGGGTTGGGACGTCCTAACCCAGTTTCTTCTACTGCTCGGCGGGAGAGGGGAACCCACTTCCTGCCCCCACTCCCACCACAAATTCTACTGTCTCCAGATCCTTGCATTCCACCTCTGCAGGATTGAGACCCTGGCGCTGGCTGGTGCCCTGGCGGTGCTGGCTTGCTCCGGGCCCCTGGAGGAGCGCACAAGTACTCTGAAAGGCCTGGTGGAGCTGGCGATGGCGCTGAAGCCAGGGGCGACAGGGGACCTGCTGGGTCTGGCTGGGATCATGGGCGCCCTGCTTATGCCCCAGGTGTGTTGGGAACGGGGATGGGGAGGACGCCTGGGTGTAGGTGACAGGAAAGGGGACTAGCTGGGGCTCCTGTCTGTGTCCAGGTATCGAGGTTAGAGAGCACTTGGCGTCATCTACGAAGGAACCACACGGAGGCTGCGCTGGCCTTTGAACAAGAGCTAAAGCCTCTGATGCGGGCTCTGGATGAAAGTACAGGTGAGAGGGGGCCTGGGCTGTGCCTTGCCTGCCTCAGGATCCTTCCCAGCCCCAGGCTCCCCTCCCTGTCCTAAATTTCACCTCTCCCCATTTTAGGCTTCCTTCTTTCGGTTGCCTCTTATGCCATGTGCTCTTTGCCTCCCCAGCCTCCTTTCCAGGTCCAGGATTCTCCCCTGTTCTAAGCCTGCTCCACCCAAGGCTTCTCGGCTGCCTTGTGGTTAGGCTCCTCTGCTTTAACTAAATCCTTCCCCAATCAAAAGCACCTTCCTTACCTTAGGCCCTGGCCTGGTCCCTCCTCCCCTGCCTTTGGCCACGCCCTTGTCACCATCTAGGTTCTACTCTGTGTCCATCCCATAGTCCCCAGCAGATTCTACCTTTCCCACAGGAACCTGCAACCCAGGAGAGGTGGCCCTGCCACATGTGGCACCGGTAGTGCGTCTGATGGAGGGAGAGGAGACCTCTGGGCCACTGGACGAGTCCTGTGACCGTGTGCTACGCACCCTTCTTGGGGCACGACAGGTGGCCCATGATGCACCTCGGTTCCGCAGGGCGGCAGCCCAGCGCCTGAAAGGTGAGCAAGGGCACCTTGGAGGCCACCTAGTCTAAGCTTTCCAACTGGGACGCCACACCCCCAGAAGAGGGTCCAAGCCCAATCATGAACCGCAAATATTCCTCTCCACTATAAAAGGGACCACTGAACCCAGCAGAGATACACCCATGGTGTGCCACCCCCAACCTCTGGCCTGGGTAGATCTAGGCCCATTGGGGTTCCCTCCAACATGACCACTTCCCCAGAGTCACACATGACTCCCACCTGAGTCCAGCCCAACCTTCAAGACCCTTACTCTAGGTAATTTCTAAGACCCTAGGTGTCCCCACCCTCCAAAGCGACAGGTTCAGCCCAGGTTTGCCCAGCTGGATGGCCATATCCTTCAATCCCACCTCCAGGCAGGGCACCCTAAATGGTGCATCTGAACTGGCCACCTTCATGCCTGGAGTTGTTCTGCATTCTGCCCTCACCCCTGAAGAGACCAAGGGGCCCCCTTCCTCTGCTAACCCCTGCCCAGGCACTCCCCACTGGCTCCTATGGATCAAAGTTCCTAGCATTAAGACAGGTATGGGGAGAGGCCTGAGCCACACCCCCCAGCGCACCTGACTCTGCCTACAGGATTCAGGCCCAACCCAGAACTATGGGAGGCACTGACCACCAGCTTCCTGTGCCGCCTACTCTGGGGGAGCATTGGGGCCCAGGCCACCAGAGCCCACCGCCTGGAGAAGTTCCATCGTGTCCTCAGCATCCTGTCCCAACAATTAGAGCCTCAGGACTGAGAGTCCAGCCCCCACTTTAGACTTGAGAGACCCCAAGGATGCTGCCTCCAGCTATTCAAGATGGACTTGGTGAAGTGGTCCACACCTGTTAATTCCAGCACTTGGGAAATGGAGATGGGAGGATCAGGAGTTCAAGGCCAGACTCAGCTACCTAAGTTTGAGGTTGTTTTGGGCTCTTATGAAAAGTTATGGGGAAAAAATTTTAAAAAATATGCCCCCTCTTGGGGTCGAAGTTTACAAGAACCTCTCTCTTAAAATGGACCCCAACAGATTGGGGTGTAGTATCTGCCTCCTTTTATCAAAATACCTACCCACTAGGTACCTAGAAACTCACCCTCACACTCCCAAATACTCCTCCATACAAACTTTGTGGGATACCCGGAAAGCAACCACATGGTGAAAGTAACTTTTCTAAATAAAAACACCTTACAGATCTGGTATCAAAGTTCAAATCTGATCACCTCTTAAATGCTGTGTGACTCCCAGCAAACCACCTGGCCTCACAGCATCTATAAATGAGATCTGGTGCTCTCTTCTGGTGTGCAGGCATACACGGAAGCAGGATGCTGTATTCATAATAAATAAATAAATCTTTAAAAAAAAAAAAGATGGCTTTTATATTTTTAACTTGGGAGTGGTACATGTAGGTATGTGTGTGGTAGTGCAGTTGTCGGAGTTGGCCGAAGGGGGCACAGGCTTGTTTAGTTGTGAGATGCAATGTTGCTGTTCAAAAACAACTCAGGATCCACTGGGAGAGCAGCCAACACCCGCTGCAGAGCTGTCTCTCCACAGAGGTACCTTTTGAGGGTCCATTCCCAACATCAGGGCCACAGACTCCAAGAGCTTTATATAATTATATATATACTTTTTCATATAAAACAAAACTTGGCCCAAGCCGAGCGGCAGGAAGAAAGGTCTTAAATATATACAACCACGCAGGAAGGCACAAGTGGGTCCCTATAGGTGACATGTGGGGTGAAGAGGGGGACAGCAGGTTACACAGGTCTCAGCCAAAAGCCACGAGGGCAGGAATAAAGTGCAAGGTCCTGGGGGCTCCTGTGGCCCAGAAGCAGCAGCTGACAGCCCTGCCCCTCGTCCCCGCTCTGGTGGGGTTCAGTTGAGTGTGACTCGGAGGTAAGATGTGGGCACATAGCCCTCACCTCCCTGTTTCCGCCTGACCCGTGTCCATCCGTCACCCTTGTCTTCCTCCATCAGGCTGAGGTCTTCCCCCTCGGACATGGAGATGGTACCCTCACTGGATCCTGTTGGGGAATGGGGGTAGGGACAGGTCAGATTTGGTGAATTTGATCCAAAGCCACAGCTCCACGCCAACTGCCACATGCCCTGGTGTGAGGGTTAACACTGTTAGCCTCAGCCTCAATGATCCCACCCACCGCTGGGACAAACCTCTGGAGTGCCTGTGAGGGAGTTTCTAGATTGGGGGAATTTAGATGGGAAGCCCCATCAACAATGTGGACAGCAGCATCCTACAGGCTGGGGCGCTGGACTGAATAAAACAGAGACAGAGAGCCTGTGAGCCCACTCAAGGGGTAAAGGTACTAGCGCCATGTCTGACAGCCAGAGTTTGGTCCCCAGGACACACATAGTAGGAGGGCGCCCACTCCTGAACGTTGTCCTATGACCTCTCTCATACAAAAAAAAAAAAAAAAAAAAAAAAAAAAAAAAAAAGAATTAATAAAAATGCTTAAAATAGAAGATAAAATAACCCTTCCTTAAGTTGATTCCCCAAGTCCCTCGCCAGTACTGGGGACTGAACCTCAGCCTCCTGAATGCTAGTCAGCCACCCTATCACTGAGCTACAGCCTTCACGCTGAGCTCTTTTTCGTCAAAATAAGAAAAGGTAACTCATGCACTCGGCCCACCTTCGAAGTGGTAGATAGCTACACACTGGCCGATAGGGGATGCAGGCTCTTCAAAGTCCTCATCGAATTCAGTGTAGATGGGGGTGTCCTGGCCTTCTTCTGAAGGGGGCTCTTCAGAGCTGCTAGGAGATGGAAGAAAGGTTAGTGCCTCAACCTCCAGGGTCTCTGAGCCTCTCCAGTCCCTTAGTGGGGTATTCCAAGTAGGGCTCTACCCTGACCACACCCCCCAGCCCCTCACTGCTGGGTTCTTGGTGGGGCTCCACCACTGACCACGCCTCAGTCCCTTACTGGGGGATTCTAGGTGGAGCTCCACCCCTGACCAGGCTGGGTCCCTCACTGGGGGATTCCAGGTGGGGCTGCCACTCTGACCACGCCTCCCAGCCCCAGCCCCCTGGGGGATTATGGGCCAAACCCCACTCACCTCTCCTTATTATCCTGGGATCCACTATTGCTACTGCTGCTGCTGTCTGGTGGGGCAGTAGCTGGGGGATCAGGCGGCCTGGAGTGACGACTCAGGCTATCCCCCCGGTTACTGAGGACCCGGCTTTCAGCTTCTGCCAACCAAGCCTAAGTTTGTTTGGGGATCAGCATGACTTCAAGTGTAAGCATTGAGGTCAGCCCACTCTTGGACTGGAGACATTTCCTGACATCACCCATGCACACCCAAAACTTAGATTCTATCCCCTTCCCCCACCCAGCAAGTGACTCACACAGGACGGCCTGCCCCCGCCCCTCCCCAGGGCATCCCTCTGACCTCATACTTCTGCACTTCTAGCTTCAGTCTCTCGATGTTGCCCAGGGTTTCTGCAATGCGGGGCTCTAAGCTGGCAGGGTCTCCCATCTGTGGTGTTTTCTCATATACATCTTTCATCTTCTTCAGGGCCTCCCTAAGACCAGACAGACAGACAGACAGGAAGGAAAACACACACTCCCATGATCTAACAAGTAAAAACCAAGCTCAAGGATAGGCGAGACGCTGGTGATGGGTTCCAATGTGCCTGGGCACCATGGCATGTGCTGAGGCTGGAATACAGCAGGTTCAAGGCCAGCCTTGGCTAACCCGGGCACCTTAACTGAAACCTATCTCAAAAAATTCAAAATGGGATTATAGAGGTTACTCAGTGGGTAATGTGCTTGCTCATGTGAGGACACGAGTTCAATCCCCAAAGCCTACATAAAAGCCAGATGTGGTGGCATATGTGGCATAATCCCAGCACTGGCCAGTCAGTCCAGCTGAATTTGAGCGGCAAATCAGTTAAGGACCCTGTCTTAAGAAACAAGGCAGACAGGGGAGATGGCTCAATGGTAAGAGGACCAGCCTAAGGACATAAGTTTGAAGCCCCAGCACCCATGTAAAAATCTGGGTGTGGCTTCTATAAGTGCCTATAACTCAAGCACTGTGGGGGACAGAGATAGAAAGAGGCAAAGACTAGGACCTGCTGGCTATCAGCCCAGCTGCTGGTTCAGCAAGAGACTTTATCTCTAGGGAATAAGAGAGATAGAACAGCCACAATGTGAGATTCTCTGGCCTCTGTGCACACAGGGCTGCACACACTCACACAGATAGAGTATTCACCATGTGAGATCCTCATGCCTCTCTCTCTCTGTACATTCAGGGCTATGTGTACACACACACACACACACACACACACACACACACACACACACACACACGAGTAGCCACCATGTAAGATCCTCTGGCCTCCATGTATGCAGAGTTATGCATGGCTGCACATAATTGCATATATACAGAAAACTATCTGAACCACACCTGAGGAACAACATTCAAGGTTGTTTTGTAGTAGCCCAAAACAAGCACACACATGACCACACATGTGAAATAAACCAGGAATGGTAGCACATTAACGACCCAGGCCAACCTGGAAAACATAGCAGGACCCAGTCTCAAAATAAAACACAAAAATAAGGGCCAGTGAAGGAGCTCAACAGATAAAGGCACTTGCCACCAACTCTAACAACTGGAGTTCAATCCCCAAGGGCCCATGTGGTTGAAGGAGAGAACCAACTACAGCTAGTTGTCCTCTGACCTCTACACAGAAACTGTAGCATGTGTAAGTCCAGATACAAAACAAATTAACAAATAAAAACAAAAATTTAAAAAGTAAATAAACCAAAAAGCCAGGCAGACAGATGATTCACACCACTAGAAATGTGTGCCCAAGCTGCATATAGCTCCAAGTGTGGCTTTTGTCCCATGATTTCCACTCTGTAGAGAAGGCCACATCTGAACAGCCAAATAGAATCTGGCCAGCCACCTGCTAACAAGTGGCCGGCATCACCCCTATTACATAATGGGCTGGGGAGAGGATTTTGTGCTTGGAAAGAATGACTAAAGATTTTCTTGTCTGGCAGATTTTTTTTTTTTTTTTTTTTTTTTTTTTTGCACATTAATGTTCTGTGTTTCAGCATTAGATAACTCAGCTCTCCTTTCCTCCTATCACGATGGTGACTCAAGACTGACAGAGTTCCTGAGCGTGAGTTGTCTCAGTATTAATGAAGTAAGACTACACGAACTGGGCTTTTTGTTTTGTTTTCCAGTCTACTAAAATCTTTGAAACTGAGCCTAGGTACTGGTTTTGTAATTCCAGCTACTTGGAAGACAGGCAGAAGAATTGAAAGTTCCAGAGAGGCCTGGGCAACTTAACCAGACCTAGTCTCAAAATAAGAAATAAAAAGGGGGCTGGGGGGTGGAGGGGGGGCTTTGCCTAGAATCTCAGTAAGGAGCTGAGGATTGCTTAGGGATTGAGCCCCACCTAGAATCCCCCAAGGAGGGGCTGGGAGTGTGGTCAGGGTGAAGCCCGACCTAGAGGACCCCAGGGAGGGGATGGGGTGTGACCAGGGGTAGAACCACACCTAGAATCCCCAGTGAGGCTCTGGGACATGGTCGGGGGTGCAATCCCATCTAGAATCCCCCAGGGCTGCTGGGGGTAGTTCCAGGCTTACAGAGGTCAACCCTGTCTCAGAAACTATAAAAAAGTTTGTTGTAGCAAAGTATGTATTAACCTAAGCTGGCACTGTAGCTATTCTTTAATTTATTTGTCTACTTATTTATCACACAAGCCCATATATGCACTTACATGCAACCACACCTGTTTAGAGGTCAGAGGACAACTTGTGGGAGTGGGTTCTCTCCTTCTACCATCTGAGATTGAAATAGTCTTCCAGCCTTTAGCCACTGAATCAGCCCATTGAGGGTATTTTTGAGTAGACAGGGAGTAAACTGAGCCAGTGATTTTCTGGGGAGGAAGACTGCACAAGCACTCATATTTCCATCTGCCGGAGCAACTTACAGAAAATGGAAAGTAACAGATTCTTTCCTGCTTTCACATCTCATTTCTCCACTGCTGTTTTAGACAATCTCAAGAAACCTCAGCTGGCTTTGAACTTACGACCCTCCTGCCTCAGCCTCCTGAATGCTGAGATTACAAACAGGTGCCACCACACCCAGCTGTGTGACAGGAATATCCTCTAAAACCATTATTAGTGGTCACCATGTGGGCACGATGACCTGACCTCAACCTCCAGCTCCCAAGGACAAAGCCCAGCATGAGACCTCATGCCTGAATCCCAGTATTGGGGAGGCAGAAATAGGAGATCCCCAGGTCTCACTGGCTGGCCAGCCTAGGCCACTCAGCAAACGAAGTTCCTTTGAGACCCTGTCTCAAAAGGAAGTCACGTGAAGCCAGTGTAGTGATGCTCATTT